TGTTTCACCCCGCCAACGCAGCTTCAGCAGGTCACCACCACCATACCGTGGGCGTGAAGAGGCACCAGCCTATGCCAATGGGTGAAGTTTCTGCAGCTTAAGCATTCTCAACTTGATTTAGATTTTATTTAAGGAATGTTAATGCTTTATTTCTGTTCTAATACCACTGGTTCTGTTTGTTTGCAGCAATGGTCTGAGGGACAGGCGCCGGAGCAGGAGTTAGATATCTTAATATCAATATCACAGCTTCTTTGAAGCTTGTTGGGTTAGACGTGTTTATTGTGTTTGCGCTTCACTACTACTGTGTTGGGGCTCTGCTTCTGAGACTTGGATAAGTTTCCTTCCAACTTATGTGTATGTTAAACTCGTTTTATTTGTTGAGCTGGATTGTTCCTACTAGTGGTGCTAAAGACTTATGGTTTTCCTTTCTGTTGAGGTTTCATCTGCGCCTGCTTCAAATCTTCGGTTGGTTTTGTGCTTCTTCAATACCGGTTTCATTCTCTGCTGCCCATCTTCCGTTGGTTTTGTGCTTCTTCACTTCCAGTTTCATTCTCTGCTGCCCCTGCATTTGCGACCTTCAATTTTGATTCGATGGGGTCCCTACTGCATATCTAGATGCTTCTGCTTGATTGAACTCTCCTGGCCATGGTCTAGTTCTGTTTGATTGAAATCTCCTGCCTACGATGCTCCGCCCTCAAATTCTATCGGCATTTCATGTGTTTAACGTAAAAGTGGGCCTCCTTCAAACTCTTCTGGCAGGTACTTATATTTGTTCCTCGAATTTGAAAGTTTAGAAGTATCAAGTTGATGGTTTTAAGATATCATTAATAAGAAAATCAATTTGAGTTTTATATTTTCGGACTGCTTTAAGTCCTTTTAAAACAATCGCTCTTCTGTGTCTTCGTTCACTAAGATTTTAGCATGATGAAGTCGAATGAAGTCTTTGCTTCTTCTATCATACATCTGTTTTGGTCCCTCCAAGGTTTTCTGCAATAAGAGGCTGTGTATGATACACAAGTTTATGTATTTGCTATTTAAAATTATGTCCAAGTGCTGACAGTTCCAAGTTTGTCCTGCGTGTTGAAGTGGCTCTTCACTCATCATGTGCTGGGGACTTTGAACTGCATCATCTAAAGGAACGAATTCCTCTGGGAATCTACTGTAACCTTTGCTGAGTGGAGAGGCTATTTTCCTTCAAGTGGCTCAGCTATCCAAGCCTCACTGGAGCCTTGGTTTGTTCATATCTAAAGGAACAAAATTCAACTGAGAATCTACTGTGCCCTTGTCTGATTCGAGAGGCTATTTTTCTTCAAAGGGCTCAGCAATCCATGCCTCGCTGCAGCCTTGCTTGGTTCTTGGTTTTATAGCCTCTGTTTCATTCGAAAAAGGATACAGATACTCCACCCGTTGCAGGTAAATCGTTTGTGGGGTTGTGGTACTCGGTTTTATCTACGTAGTTAATGTCATCTCGTCTGCCGACAGTAGTGCTGTGCGGGGAAGATGATGATGCTATGCACCTTAGTCTTTAGGTGGAGTTCTCGTCTCTGAAAGCTGATGATTGAGTGGTGGTTAACTTTGTGCTATTTGGTGTATGTCTTGATCTGATTGTAGTGTATGAATTTCCGGATTGTAAGATGTCGCTTCCCTTTTGCCGAGGTTTCTGCAGATATGTAGATTAAGACGGTTTGATTAATGTGTCAGCAGTTGATGCACTTATTTGGTTTCACCTTCTGCACTTTCTTTACCTAGCTTCTGCTTCACCTCATTCATATTGCACCCATTGTCTACGGGCATAACATTAGCAGGCTGCAGCGAATTGCAGTTTTGATACTAACGTTCAATTTATCAGGATTATGCACTAAAACCAACTTAGAATATGCTCACATCCTTCGCTTAACGAAACCGATATTGAAGCTCTAGTAGTCTAATACGTTTAACCTCTGGATCTCCTGTATTGCTGCTTCGACCTAGCTTGCTCGTTGGAAACTGCTCTATTCGAATGTTTATAACCATCATCCAGTTTAGCAAGATTGTGGAGGTCTCTAATGCAGCTAACAGCACCATAAAATGATGTGTTAAGAGGGAAAAAGAACCTAGTTTTCACTGTCTCGCGATACTGTCCGACTAAGCAGTGTGACCACAGCGCAGCTGTCAACCCAGAAAAAAGAAGAGGAGCTTGCCATCAATTATCGAGAGAAGAAGAGGGGAGAAGATTTCATGTTTGGTTTTCAGTTATCAGATTGGACTTTGAATTCTCATTTTCAGCTTCTTCCATGAGCAGCAGGGAAGATGCGACGGCAGTGACCAAGTTCCACGAGAACAGTCCAAATCCACTAAAAGAGAGTTTTGACGACAGACGCTATGTGACTGCCCAAGAGAAATGTAAAACAAAAGTCGAGGACTTGCTCTGTGAATGCCACCCTCATTCATCCAAAACCTTGCCCTGCACTTGGATTCTTATGCTTGTCAAAGAAAAGCTCTGTTGCTACAGCTTTACTGGTTAAACCACGCACCGACGATCAAATCGGTAAAATTTTACCCAATCATTCACAGGAATTTAGTAATGTGATGAACCATCTGCTTGTCCCATATCGTTTATAAGAAACAAACCAAACAGTTGCATATGAAGTCATTAATGGCTGGCCAAACAGTTGGAGGCCTGCCTTCCCCATCTTCAGCTTCCATTTGGTCCACCACTAACACCAAATGCCCACATTCGGGTGAGAGATACGATGGCATCCATCCACACAAACACACACACGATGGGAAGTCGGCCAAATAGTACTACTTAATTTCGTCGAAAAATGGTGTCCCCGTTCGCTTTCATAGTCGTTGATGCATCAATCCGAAGCCCAGTAATGTCCGGGTAGACGATGACGTTGTTCATGTTAATGTGAAATCTGACGATATCAAGCGTATTGAATTGTTCTGCATCCTCTCTTCATGACATCCCATATATGATTTTTTTGGTCGAACAAAGGCATTTGTAGAATGTAGAAAAGTGTTCCCTAGTCTCACGTATTAAAAAAAATGGGTGACGGGTTGAATTAAGTAGTGATTTTTCTTAGATTTGCTCTTGGTGATGGAGCTCCAAAACAAAAACTAAACAAAAAAATGTCGCCCTCATCATCCAACTGCAAAACCAGTTAGAGAGAGAGAGAGAGAGAGATTGGATTAATTCTCATTATGATATTCTAAATTCTCTACTCTGTTCTCATCGTATTTCGGTAGTTGTCACTCAACGAACTCCAAACGTTCATCCCTCTTTGTTCTCTGTTAAACAATCTTGTATATCAATATTTCCCCACCTTATAATAACTCAATTAAACAATAATATTTTCCCCACATGATGCTCTTCACGTCCTTTCTCTCCCCTGTTTGTTTGCCTTTCCCCTGCCTTCTTCACATCATGAACATCACTAACTATCTGGGTTCAAGCTTCCAGTTTTTTGGCGCCAGAAGGAATGGACGGCATCAGTGAACCTCTTTGGGTCCAAGTCTGAAACTTTTCAGCCTTCTCTCTCTCTCTCCATCTCTTGAGATTCTTAGTTCCCAGCTGAAATGGAGCTGAAGAACAAGAAGTTTGTGAAGTAAGTCTCTGCTTTTCAAAAGGCATCCTCTGTTTTTTTACAAGACTCTTCCTTTCTGTTTGGTAATCTGATTTCAGGGGTTCCTTTGTGTATGAATGTACCAGCTTTGTAGACCACCAGCAGGTATTGGAGAAGGCGCTGCATTTGCCAACATACAAACCATCTACACCGCCGCCATGGTTGAAATCAGAAGCTGGTTTTGACGAGAGGGATCCCATCATGAGCAAGAAATGGAAGCCGAAGTTTGGCAAGTTTGTTCGTCGCAGTGAAGCTTGGAGGCACGCGATTTTCGATCCGGGAAGTGACATCTGCCTGCAATGGAACAGGGTTTTCCTCTTCTCGTGTCTCGTCGCGCTGTTCGTGGATCCGTTGTTCTTCTACCTCCCGACCATAGTCCAATCGGGAGGTTCGACTTGTATGGCGGTCGACATGAAGCTGGGAATCACGGTGACAAGTTTCAGAAGTATCGCGGATGTGTTCTATCTGATGCACATAGTTTTCAAGTTCAGGACTGCCTATGTAGCTCCAAGTTCAAGGGTTTTCGGCAGAGGGGAACTGGTCATGGATCCATATTCGATTGCAATGCGATATCTGAAAACCGAATTCTTCGTAGATTTCATTGCAGCCTTGCCTCTTCCTCAGGTATGAACTGTACTGCGTGAATGTTTGTTTTATGTTCCAATGCAGGGGATTTTCGGACCAACAACAACTACTAAGCTGACACTATTGAGTTCATGATATGGCAGATGATGATATGGCTTGTCATACCGGTGATCAAAACGGCGCAGTCTGATTACACTAACAACGCCTTTGTGCTAGTTGTTCTGCTGCAGTACATTCCCAGGTTGTATCTGATTTTCCCATTGAGTTCAGAGATAACCAAAGCCGCCGGAGTTTTGACCGAAACTGCTTGGGCTGGTGCTGCCTACAACCTCGTGCTGTTTATCTTGGCCAGTCATGTAAGCAGAGGCTAAAACATCCATTTCAAGTTTAGCCCCTAAGAGCAATGTTGTTTCTGTTCTACAATTTGAATTTCGATCATGTGGCAGGTGATGGGTTCTGCTTGGTATTTGTGTTCGATCGAACGCTACGCGACATGCTGGCAGTCTCTCTGCAAACAGGAGTCTGAATGCCAGTCTACTTACTTGGTTTGTAATAATCTGGATAGAGTGGACCGGAGGGTATGGGCAAGTACTACGAAAGTGTTCAGCACGTGCGATCCCAACAACGCTTCATCAGATGCAACTGTCTTCGATTACGGAATGTTTAAAAAGGCTTTGTCGAAGCAGGTTTCGACTGCTACCTTCACTGAGAAGTACTTGTATTGCCTCTGGTGGGGGATGCAGAACCTGAGGTAACATATCCTGAGGAATACTTAACTAGCTTACAGTAGCACGACGACATCCTGAATAGCTAACTTAGGTTGAATGTCTCTCCCCCATGTTCAGTTCCTATGGCCAGAGTTCGAACACAACCACATTCGTCGGTGAAACGGTGTTTGCTATAGCGTTGGCCATCATGGGTCTGGTTCTGTTTGCTCATTTGATTGGGAACATGCAGGTAATGATGCGTACTAACCTTCTTTTCTTCTGTTCTTGAATGCCATAATGTATTTTTAGCACGCTCTTTTCCTCAAATTCTGGCTATGGTACATTGTAGACATACTTGCAATCCATCACAGCAAGACTTGAAGAATGGAGACTCAAGAGAAGGGATACTGAAGAGTGGATGAACCATCGCCAACTGCCTCGAAACCTACAAGAGAGAGTGAGGCGATATGTTCAGTACAAGTGGCTAGCAACTCGTGGCGTCGATGAAGAAGCAATCCTGCAACAACTGCCATCTGATATCCGACGAGACATTCAACGCCACCTCTGTTTGGACCTTGTTCGTCGGGTAAGTCAATAGCTTGCATTCCAAGCATATCATCCACTTTTACAGTTTCAAGGACCGTGTGATGAAACAAGTGTCTCTCATTTCTATGGCAGGTTCCTTTCTTTTCACAAATGGATGATCAACTCCTAGACGCCATCTGCGAGCGCTTGGTCTCCTCGTTGATCACTCATGGGACCTACATTGTTCGTGAAGGCGATCCTGTGACCGAGATGTTGTTCATAATCAGGGGGAGGCTGGAAAGCTCCACAACGGATGGCGGGAGGTCAGGTTTCTTCAACACAATTTCTCTCAGACCGGGGGACTTCTGTGGCGAGGAGTTGCTCGCTTGGGCATTGAATCCGAACTCCAACGACAACTTGCCTTCTTCCACAAGGACCGTGAAGGCATTGGAAGAAGTAGAAGCATTTGCATTACGCTCCGAAGATCTCAGGTTCGTCGCAAACCAGTTCAGACGACTCCACAGCAAGAAGCTGCAGCACACATTCCGGTTCCATTCGCACCATTGGAGGACATGGGCTGCTTGCTTCATTCAAACGGCTTGGCGTCGGTTCAAGATCAGGAGGATGGCACACACCCTGAGCATGTCCGAGTCTTTAATGTCTTCCTTCGCTCTTGTAGACGAGGAGGAAACTGCAACTGCATCGCCCAAACAGAACTTAGTCGTCCAGAGGCTGGCCGAGCGGTTTGCTGCAAACACCAGAAGAGGGAATCGGAAAATAAAGGATGTTAAAATGCCGAAGTTGATGAAGCCCGACGAGCCAGATTTCTCTATAGAGGCAAGTGATGAGGAGAAATGATTCCTTTTCCATTGATTGATTCTTATTGTGAGTCACTCTGTAAGATATTGAGATACCATTTGTTAGAGAAGTTTAAGCTTCTCCATATTCATTATTAGTTTAGTATTAGTAGATGTATAGAATTGATACTGTAAGGAACATTCTTATATTTTTGTGCTAAAGCCATAGACCAAATGACTATTTGAAGTCTATATCGAAATCTAATCAATGGGTACTCGCAGATACACGAATACACGTACCTGAGGATACTGCCCTGTAGATATCTGCAGTGTTTGGTTGGTTTAGTAACAAAGCATACAAAATCAAACACCATAATAACGCACCATTTAGCTCATAGACATAAATAATAGTATCGTTCATATCGAGATTATAATCCATACCGATGGTAAACTTGAAATATCGCTCCAAATTCTGTATCAAACATTGCTTTAATTACAGGGTAAAGGGCTGACATTTTGTGATCTGAATATCGGTCAGATCCTACCTGTCATACCTGGAAGAATACCGATCAAATACTGCCCTTACTCGAACCTTAATTGTTCAACACCGTTTGTTAACAAAGTTAACCAGAACGAATCGGTCCCCCAGGTCTGAATTTCCCTTGCAGTTTGATTATGGCTTGCTCCAAACAAAAAGGTCAGCCTCATCATCCAATGACAGAACTAGTTCGACATATTGACATTACTAAATTCCCAACTCTGTCCTCAAGTATATGCCATATCCCCTAATGCATATGGAAGCCACCCACCATGACTAAACTAGTAGAATGAATGAACCCCTTCCCATGAAGATTGCTAAATTCCCACTCTGTTCTCATGTATACGTCCTGTGCGAAATATCAACGAGCTTATAATACTCAGTTCCCTAGTTCACATTGTTTTCTGCTATACTCTTTGCTGTTTTGTCCCTAAACAGTACAATGTTCTCTCTACTTCTCCCACCTTATACTATTCCCCCTTCTTTCCGTCCTTTCTGCCATTTGTATATTTGCATTTCCCCTGCCTTCTCAATTGAGGTTTCAGTTTCTGGCCTATCTATAATGTTGGATTCTCAGGAAGTACTTCCATCATCTGGGGAAGATAGAGGAGTTCAGTTGAGCTCTTCGGGCTAAGTTTACGAGCTTTCAGCGTTCTGTTAGTGCCTCTGATTCAAAGGTAGCCTTTGATTTTCATTTCCCCTTCATGGGTTCGCTTGTGTTCCGCGATCTCTAATCTACATTATTGGGATTCCACCCTTTTTCTGGTTTGTACAGTTTTGTAGACCACAAGGCCATGGAGAAGGTGTTGCACTTGCAGACATATATACCATCCATGATGCAATGGTTGAAATCCGAAACTGGTCTTGACGACAGGGATTCCAAAAGGATTCCAAAGTTTGGCAAGTTCAGAGTTTTCCTAGAGAATAACCATGCCGGCGAGCTTTGGAAGAACAGGATTGTTGATCCAGGAAGTGACATCTCCCTGCAATGGAACAAGGTTTTCCTCATCTCGTGCCTGGTCGCTCTCTTCGTCGATCCATTGTTTTTCTACCTTCCGACCATAGTCCAAGCTGAAGGTTCAACATGTATGGCGATCGACTTGAAGCTGGGAATCACAGTGACATGTTTCAGAACTATTGCAGATGTGTTCTATTTGATGCATATAGTTTTCAAGTTCAGGACGGCTTATGTGGCTCCAAGTTCGAGAGTTTTTGGCAGAGGGGAACTGGTAGTGGATCCCGAGTTGATTGCCAGGCGATATTTAAGAACCGATTTCTTTGTTGATTTTATTGCAGCATTGCCTCTCCCTCAGGTTGGGGTGTTTCTCCTCTGTGCGAACTTGCTTTCTTGCATTCCTCTCCAGTTGAAGTGCTGACATTAGTCACCTCATGATATGGCAGATTATGATATGGTTTATAATTCCATTGATCAAGACGGCGCAGTCTGATTACACCAACAATGCCCTTGTACTTGTTGTTCTGCTGCAGTACATTCCCAGATTTTATCTGATATTCCCATTGAGTTCAGAGATAGCTAAAGCAAATGGGGTAGTGACGAAAACTGCCTGGGCTGGTGCTGCTTACAACCTCGTGTTATACATGCTGGCCAGTCATGTAACATTTCTCTCTTCCTCTCTTCTTCCTCCTCCAACAAGCCACATTGATCAAAGACTTGATATAGTTTGTGTTGTTTGGCTTTGATTTTGATTACACTGCAGGTGACGGGTTCTGCTTGGTATCTGTGTTCGATCGAGCGCTATGCAACATGCTGGAAATATCTGTGCGAACAAGACATTGAAACTCAAACACGATGCCAGTCTTCTTACTTGGTTTGTAACAATCTAGAAAAGCCTGACAGAAAAGCATGGGCAGGGACTACCAGAGTGTTCAGCAAGTGTGATCCTAACAACGCTTCCGACCCAAACGTATTTGATTATGGAATGTTCTCAAACGCCTTATCAAAGCAGGTTGCTTCTGCTACCTTCACCGAGAAGTACTTGTATTGCCTCTGGTGGGGGCTGCAGAACTTGAGGTAAGCTATGAATAACATATGGTAAAGCCAGTCATGCTAGATGCTGCGTCCCCCTTACAACAAATGCCTAGCACATTGGACTAGTAAGTGTTGATGTTGCTGCTCTATTTCTGCCCCCCTCAGTTCCTATGCACAGAGCACAAACACAACCACATTCGTCGGAGAAACTTTGTTTGCCATCGTATTGGCCGTCATGGGTCTGGTTCTTTTTGCTCATTTGATTGGAAACATGCAGGTAATGAGCTTGCAGTCATTCATCTGTAAACTTCTTTTTATACTTCTTGTTCTAAAGCTCAGCTCAAACCTTCCGGAATTCGCTCTACCACGCAGACGTACTTGCAATCCCTCACTGCTAGACTTGAAGAATGGCGCCTCAAGAGAAGGGACACCGAAGAGTGGATGAGCCATCGCCAACTTCCTCAAAACCTGCGAGGGCGTGTGAGGAGATATGTTCAGTACAAATGGCTAGCAACTCATGGCGTTGATGAAGATGCAATCTTGCACCAACTACCAGCTGATCTTCGTCGAGACATTCAACGACACCTATGTTTGGACCTTGTTCGTCGTGTAAGTGACAACTACTCTTGTGTTTACATACCAAGCAAGAACACCCATTTTACACCTGCAGTTTAACTTCCTCTCCTCATCACAGGTTCCTTTCTTCTCACAAATGGATGATCAGCTCCTAGACGCAATCTGCGAACGCTTGGTCTCGTCATTGATCACTCAGGGCACCTACGTTGTCCGCGAAGGCGATCCAGTAACCGAGATGCTGTTCATAATCCGAGGCAGGCTAGAGAGCTCCACAACAGATGGTGGGAGGTCAGGTTTCTTCAATTCAATCGCTCTCAGACCGGGCGACTTCTGTGGCGAAGAAACCCTTGCTTGGGCATTAGTCCCCAACTCAAATGCCAATTTGCCATCTTCCACAAGAACAGTCACAGCACTGGAAGAAGTAGAAGCATTCGCATTACGCGCAGAAGACCTCAAATTCGTGGCAAACCAATTCAGACGACTCCACAGCAAGAAACTACAGCACACATTCCGGTTCTACTCGCACCAATGGCGCACATGGGCTGCATCGTTCATTCAATCCGCTTGGCACCGCTTCAAGAGGCGGAAGATGGCACACAACCTTAGCATATCAGAGTCATTGTCTAGCTTACCTCTTCTGGAGCACGATGAAACTGAAACAACAGCTGCAGCAGCAGCAGAAGAAGAAGAAGAAGAGATTCCTTCAGAGCCAGAACAGAGCGTGGCTGTCAAGAGGCTGGCCCTGCGATTTGTGGCGAACACCAGAAGAGGGAATCTTAGGGTGAAGGATGTTCAAATGCCTAAGTTGGTTAAGCCTCAAGAGCCAGATTTCTCCAGAGAGGGAAGAGACGAGGGAGGGAGCTTATTTTGAGGAAACCCTTTTGTCGCAGTTCGAATCCATTGATAATGTACCAGAAGGAAAAGGAAAAAAGGAGCGATCTTTGACATGAATTCATGATATATTGATTCACAGAGGAGCTCTGGAAAAGAAAATCCCAAAAAAGAAACAGACTTTGGCATATCCCAACTATTATATAACCGATTGAATGATGCCCGAAGAACAACTCAGGAAATCAGGGGTCAGACCAACAGGGACGCCGGAGATCGGTGCTGGAGAAGAGAAAATGAAAAGAGGGATTGGGGAAGGATTGAAGTTAGAGAGAGAGAGTTTCGCGGGTCATTTGGATCCAGGTTTTTAATTTGTGGGATTTTGGCTCAAATCACTGGTTTAAAAACCTAGGTTTTTTTTTTTTTTTTTTGGTAGAAAAAAACCTAGGTTTTTAATATGTGGGATTTGTGTGGGATTTTAAAATAGCTGATCACCATCAGTTATTTCATAATCCCACAATTGTGGGTTTCTGAAATCTCTAATATTTAAAATCTCTTATCATATAATTGCTTTCCAAACGAATGATTTTAATAAAATCCCACATTATGTAGAATTGTGCCCAAATCCCACACCCAAAACCTACATCCAAATGACCCCTCGGAGTTAGTTGGTTATATCGTAACAGCAATAACTCGCCACAATATCCCGATATATTGCGAGTTATTTTAACATGTTGCCTTGTATCGTCAATATATCGTAAAATTCAATTAATTTGGTTTCTTTTCGGGTTTGGGGTTCTGAAACGTTTCTGCTTGTGGAAAAGAGACTTGTGGTTTGATGGGGTAAATTGCAATATTGGTCACTGAAATTACTAAAATTGTTTAAGTTGGTCACTAGAAATATTAAAATTAGAGAAGTATTTCAAATTTGGTCACTCTCCGTTAACTTCCGTTAACGACGTCAGTTTTTTGCTGACGTGGCTAACAGAGATGCTCATTCACCCAATTTTAACCCGCCATGTCATAAAACCCGCCACGTCAGACCCTCTACATAACAAAACCAATTCAACCGCTGACTAAACCGAACCCGATCTGACCCGCCACCATCTCACCTCCCCACCACCGACGGAAACAACGCCAACCCCCTCGATCCGTCTAAGGTCCTCCGTCATCGTTGTTGACTTGAACCGATGTTGGTTCTTCCCCTCAGATTCAGAGGCAAAGCCTTGGTCTAGTTGATCTGAGTTCTCGTTGATATGAAGGTTTCTGGTGGGAGCGGTGTGACCTAGTGCTCTTTCAGCGCGCGACGGTAGTTTCCAAAGGGCAATCAGGTGCTAGGGTTTGGGGTGGACTAGATTTGTGTTTTGGTCCCTCGTATGGGCCCTATTGTACCAATTTTGTGGGTGAGCCTTTAGGTTTAGCTTGTTTTTTTTTAAAACTTTGGTACCTTGATTGTAACTTTTCCTCTCGGCTTGACCCATTTACTTCTTAATGAATCCCAAACTTAAAAAAAATCTCACTATCGAAAATGTTGGCCGAGCCTTTTGATGTGCCTTCTTTTATGCTAAGGAGACTATACCCACCTTAACTCGTGTCTTTTTTTTTTCCAAGAAATGTCAAAAGAGAAACCTATACAACCTACCAAGACCCTGCCCACCTTAACTCGTGTCTACACACTAACAATATAGACTTGGCAACGCGGTCTCTGGACATGAGAATGAGACCTCGTCGCCATAATGTGTTGCTCACTATACATTGCCACCTTACACGAGCAGCTACACGCACCTAGACTCGTACCAATGCCCACCGTCGATGACTTAGCGACTCGACCTTAAAATTAATTTCACAATGCACAAGTCAAGTCAAAATTCAATTGTAATAACTAAGCTCTTGTCTTATAAAAACATTTTAAGAGAAGTAGATAGCAGTGGGGGAGCGGATCATGTCAGTAATTCTTATGGTGAGTAACCATCAGTAACCTGTCCACATCCGCATTACATCGACATCCCCTCTCTCATGGAAAGTTTTTTTTATCTTTTCCTCTTTAATCTTTAACGGACGATTTCTCTCTCGTTTTAAGCTAAAATTTAATTTTTTTTTGCACAGATAAATCAGATTAAATGTGCTCTTTAAAATGATATCCATTTTGATATATTTTTAGTACAAAAAAATTGAATAATTTTTTACCAGTAATTACCATATGGTATGCTCGTATTTAATACCATATGGTAAGAAAGCGTGCCATGATGGTATGAACATACCAATATGGTAAGAAGGTTGAATACTTTATAGTGGGAGTATACTAACTGTCATTTACGACTTTCATCATTGTTTACTACAAGTTACCACCCACATACCATAGTGGTAAAGTATGGTAATTTTTGGTCCAGTATTTTTTCACCCAGAAATTTGTAGATCCAATAGATCATGATGAACTCGTTTTGTAGAGTATAACGAAAAGTTTCTCGAAATGTATTAAAAATTGATCTCATTTTGTAGAGTATAACGAACTCGTTTCATGTGTGCAAACAAAATTGAAATCCAAGTTAAAACGAATAAGATAAGAGCCGATTATGAAAACTAGGGAAAATAAAATGTCTTTAATTGACAATCTTTAGATCTGAATTTTCTGGACCCACCTAAATCTAAAGATCCCGATTTAGTTATTCATATGTCACTAACCCTATCCTAATTCCTAAGCCGCGATGGGGAACGGATCAGGTCAGTAACTTTATGGTGAGTAACTATGAGTAACTCACCCACATCAGCATGATATCATCATCCTCTCTCTCCTGGAAAGTCTTTAATTTTCCCCTCTTTAATCTTTGACGGACGATTTCTCACTCGTTTTAAGTCGAAATTTAATTTTTTTTTTGCACAGTTAGATCAGATTAATTGTGCTCTTCAAAATGATATCCACTTTGATATATTTTTCGAACAAAAAAAATTGAGTAATTTTATACCAGTCTATACCATATGGTATTGACTTGTATTGAAATAAGAGCATACCTATGGTTTGAAAAGCGTACCATGGTGGTATGACACAAACCAAAACTGTAGGATGGTTGAATACGACTTTTAACATTGTATACCATAAGATACCATAAGATACCACCTCGTACCAGGGTGGTATTGTATGGTATTGTGTGGTATTTTTTTGTCTTGTAATTTGTTCACCCAGAAATTTGTAGATCCAATAGATCATGATGAGCTCGTCCCTGCTGTGCAAACGTTTTTAAAAACGAATTAAAAACGAAGAAGATACCATATGGTATGCAGTTGGTACCGAGAGGCCATAATTTTTTTCCCTAAAAAAATATTGAAAATTGATCTTATTTTGTAGAGCACGATGAACTCGTTCCATCTGTGCAAAAAAAATTAAAATCCGAGTTAAAACGAAAAAGATATGAGTCAATTAAGAAAGCTAGTGAAAATAAAAATGGTCTTTAATTCTCCATCCTTAGAATCCTTAGATGTGGATTTTCTAAATGAATGGTCCAGATTTGGTTATTGATGGGTGCATAACCCATGGTTATGCACCCTAACTTGAGCCGCCGCGATGGGGAGGGAGACCATGATCCATTTATGATTTCTCTTATTATAATAATGCAACCACCACCGTGCTCCACACTTGGTCTTCTTCATATGCAGTTTGTCCAACTACAAAGTAAGTCCTTTGAATTGAATGAATGAGTGCCATAACTACAACTTGTGGTACGTGCAATCAGGTCCCATGCAGTTACTACACAGTAAACTCACCATGTTCTTGTTCCCAAGTGGCCAAGTCCCAACTACATCAATATATATATACAGGATCTGTTAATTAGCTTTGATACTTTAGATTAATGGACGGCTAAACATTCGTCGGCGCATGCTGCCAAACACCATCATCTTTGAAGTAAAGCCAGAAGAGATTAAGCCAGCTTCTGCAGACAAAGGGGATTTTTTTTTTTTTTAAGACTGAAACCTTCCAAAGTTCCATTCTTGTTTCTTCCTTCCTTCCTTTCCAACACTTGATCAAGTTTGACTAGTTGAGTAGGCGAAACAAAAAGCAGAGTAATAGCAACAAACAGAAGCGCAAGCAGACACGTTGGAAAACCGGTAGGATGTCAAGTTCAGACAAAGAGTGATCGTTTCTGCTGTGGTGTTGTTTCTTAATTATGAGCCAGCCCGCCAGCGACCCACCAGCCCAATATAAAAGAACACAAGAATCATCATATGCCCACAAAAGATCGATTGTCTCCTTCCTTCCATAAACAATGGGGAAAAAGAAAGGTCCCCTTTTCTGCTTAATACAACTACCAGTAACCTTTCAGTCAAGTGCTCTTTGATTGCTACACCAACTCAAACCTCAGCCACCACAACACAATTTACCTCCTTTTCCCTTCCCCTGCCGACACTTCCCTTCCCTCTTGTCCTTTCCTTTACCTTAAAGCTGGTATTAAATATAAGATAGCTGACTGATTTCTGTAACTTCCAAAGTGGGTTCATTTTTCATCCATGGAGTTCCCAACGTGTTATCCTTTTTCCTCACGAGGAATCCATGGGGCAATCTGGGAAAAACCCATGAAGTTACTTTCTCTTCAGGGCTGGTCATGTCATAGCAGGGCTGGTTGAACTGGTTAAACATGTTTGTTGCAGAGAAATGAAGAGCATGCAGAGATACAGATAAGACAAGCATGATTATGTGCTGTTATATGAAATAAATCAATAAAAAGGGTGGAAGAATGTCGAATTTACATCACAAAAGTGTTATCTTACAGAGTCTGATACCATCTCCCTTACAAAACACTACAGGAGGAAGGAAAGCAATCTCATAACTTGGACCTCACTCTTTTAACTGTATTTTTTTTCTCCTGGTTTTTTACAGCTGCCCCAGATCGTTTACTTGAATCTAAACTCCACTAGAATCACTGTCTATGACAGCCAACAACAACCAATGATCACTTGAATTCAAATAAAAAGCTAGAAGAAAACCCTCCTATAAGAAATAAAAACAAATCAAAGAGGTGATAATGATATGCTGTTGTGTTCATAAGAGAAAATGGGCGGAGGTGGGAAAAAGAATTATAAGAATCCTAAAAATGTCTTGAAACTAAATGTGGGAGAGACAGAAATTTGCGTTTATTCAAGTTAAAAAAAGGAACGAGAAAGTACTACTTCCTTTTTGTTGCAGCCAGCCAGATACCAACAAGATGAATCTGCAGAGAGTAGTAGTAGGGCAAAATGGGCTGCCTTCCTTGTATGCAAGCATGCATGCATCTTCCAAAGCTTCTCTCAGCTCATTTGCTCTCCAATGAGGTCCAAACCCACCAAGAGGAAGGTCACACCTTGGAACAGAAGGAAGTAGAAATGGACTCCTTGAGCAGACAACAAGCTCCTGACTGAAGCTGTGAGCAATAGGAATGCTAGAGCCAACTCCTTCCTGTATATTTTGTTCACCTTCTTCTTCGGTTTCGACACTGATTCTGCCTTCTCCTGCAGTAAACTCAACTGCCCAATCTCACTTTCTGAAGCTCCTCTGTGTAACTGAGGCTGAATCATCGAGGGCTTCGATTCCCTCTCAGCAGCAGCCAGTAGGTCTGATTCTGATGACCTGCCAGCCTTTTTCGTAACGACCCACTCATAAGAGCTTCCCAACTGGAATAACCCGGAGACCATCGCGTTGAACTTGGTGACAGACATTGTGTTTTCGAAAAGAAGGTAAGGGACGATGAAAGGGAAAGATTTGGGAGCTGGAACGATGTTCATGAACGACATTACGATGGGGACATAACAGATGACCCACAGTGGGAGTTCGGCTTCTGGGACGAACATGGTCAGGGGGAGGATTATGCAGAATAGTGTGAAGGAATAGAATGGCAGGATTAGCTTTCTCAGTAGGAAGAAGAGGAATATCAAGTTTGCCTTCTTCCATAATGCTATCTGCAAAATATTGAACCAACCAGTAAAAGGCTCAAGTCAGGTACATTTCTTTTGGCTTAGAAAATAACATCGAGAAAGAGTGCTTTTTTCCCCTTCTTTCGACATACCTTGGATGTTACTATTGCAGGAAGACACAAGCGGAAAAGCTGCATTGGGCCGGAATGCCAGCGATGCTGCTGTTTTCTATAAGCTTCATAGGACTCAGGAAGTTCACAGAGGACCTAAATATGTAACAAAGTTAGTTTATTTGGACTTGTTGTGGACATTTTTAGTCATAGAAGCATTCATTTCTCAGTTCAGTTGTTTCAGGTTTTCTGTAATAGAGTCAAGAGTTACCTTGACATCATTAAGGAAGATGAATTTCCAGCCATTGAGATGGGCACGAACAGCAATGTCCATGTCCTCGACGGTTGTTCTCTCGAGCCATCCACCGGATTCCTCGAGGGCCTTGATTCTCCAAACGCCAGCAGTTCCATTAAAGCCAAAGAAATTCATGAAGATACCATTAACTTGCTGTTCGACCTCAAAGTGGAAACACAGGTTGATGTTCTGTAAACGAGTCAGCAAATTTTCATCCTTGTTCACAAATGACCATCTCGCCTGAACCAGCCCCAGTTCAGGATTGTCCTGAAACAACAAGATAAATAAGGCAAGGCATACTTAAGAACACTGTAACGATATTTTATCACGAAATTCGCATAATGCCTGCCATTCATACTCATATTCACCTTAAAATGTGGCACGGTCAGCTTGAGGTAGTCAGGGTTAGGCTGGAAGTCAGCATCAAAAATTGCAACGAACTCATAATCCTTGACATATTCACAGCCCATTGCTGAATTGAGGTTTCCAGCTTTGTAACCAGTTCTAAGCAGCCTATGCCTATAGATAATGTTGACCCCCTTTTGTCTCCATTTATCAACCTCTCCTTTAATTAACCACTGGATGTCCACATCATCCGAATCATCAAGAACTTGGATCAAGATCCTGTCTTTCGGCCAATCGAGCTGGCAAACCGCAGAGATTGACTGATCATACACCTGCCGACAATCCAATATCCATCAGCACAGTAATTTCCACAATGTCCATTGTAAGAACTAAACATTTCCCATCCAAAACATGAAGCCAATTGAGAACAATGCAAAATGCAGGACTCACAGAAAGCTAAAAAACCAGTACAAGCAATTAGTTGAGTTGGAAAATACCTCTCTCTCATTACACATTGGAATTTGAACAAGAACCATGGGGCACTTATAATCCAAGGCCTCAATATCTGGAGACTTGAAGGGATCTCCTCCCCGAATCTCGGGCTTAATCCTCTTAAACTTAATCCACAAACAACCTAAACAGAGCACCAAACGGTCCACAGACTGCACTAGGAACAGAGCAACGCAGAAATTGGAGAGACCCATAATGGCTGGAGCGATGTAATCGGCTCGAAAGTTCAGCCAAGCAACATAGACCATGTGAAGCAAATTGGGAGCAGCCATTGGAATCCGATGAAGATATTCAGCAGCAGCAGACGCCTCGAAATAATGCCAGCCTTTGAGATAAGCAGCAACTTCAAACCCCAAAATTACCAGAGAAGTGACTAAGAAAACCCTGATAACACGAAGGACCAACTTCCCTTTGCCGAGCTTCTCAGTGGCGACTGTGACCCCTTCCCTGAAAAAGAGGCGCTTTTTGATGGTACCAAGCAATGCCCAGAAGAGGCCGGCGAGCCAGGCCACGCAGCCGACGGCACGGTGAGCTTTGAGAAGTAAAACCCATCTGACTTGCTTCGCGTTTCTGCCTCTGCTCTTGTCCACCGGCCGGAATGCAGCATCGGGGCCGTCGATTTCAACCACCGAGTAGTTTGGGTTCTCCATTTTCACCACCACCGGAGTTCCTCCACCATTCTTGCTCTCCTTCCCCATCAGCACCGAAAAACCTAACCTTGGAGCCATTTCTGTGCTCTTTTTCCCCCCTTTCTCCCTCTTTTTTGCCTCTGTACTTACTCACTCTCTCACTCACTGTCCTTTTTTTTTAACTAAATCAAGTAAAAATTAAAAAAAGGGACCAGCATCCAGAAAACCCAAGAAGGAAAACACGAAGATTTTCAGAACCCAGATCCCAAAACTAGGAAGAGAACGAAACCCATTTCCGGAAGTTGCAGAAATGAAGGAAGCAGTAGATCCATGAAAGCTCACTCCACCGACTGGGAAAGTGCAGGCAGTGGAGGATGAACAGCTATAACAGATAATACTTACAAGAAGCACATTGTGGGGGAGGCGGCAGCTAGAGGAGATGTTTTATTGTACTGTCAGAAGGGCTTCCTCTAGAAGAGAAGGGAAGCAGAGAAGAGGGAGCAAGAATTCTCCTACAAGTTCATTTCCTTCCTTTTGTTTTCCTTTCGGTGGTGAGCTTAGGGAGAGATGGAAGGTATATAGACAGCTGTAAGAATGGTAGCAACATGTGTTCGTGTACTCCCCTTTTTTCTATGGTCCATTAAACCGTATCGTATTGGTGGTTCCACAAAATACCAGTATTGGAAGCTAAATCGATAAGCGGTATTTAACGGTATTAATGGTTGAACTATGGTTCATTCACGGTTTTGCCATAAAATACCCTACTGTTGACTTTTCCGATACGGTCTCCGGTACGGTTTCCTGGACTATGTTTTTTTCCCTTTTTGGTTTTTGTTTTCATTTTAGTTGGTAATTGTATCCAGGTTGTTGAATGAGGTAGACGGTAAGTACTCGATTATGTCACTCCAATTGTTAGAGTTAGGGATGGACATTAATGTTTGTGTACAAAATATGAATACATAATTACCTCTTTCTTTTCCGATACGGTCTCCGGTACAGTTTCATGGACCACGCTTTTTTCCCTTTTTTGTTTTTGTTTTCATTTTAGCTGGTAATTATATCCAGGTTGTTGAATGAGGTAGACGGTAAGTACGTGATTATGTCACTCCAATTGTTAGAGTTAGGGATGGACATTAATGTTTGTGTACAAAATGTGAATACATAATTACCTCTTTCTTTTTTTAACATTTGATTCGATGAACTGAACAATATAATACGATGAGAAAGCACATAATCAGACGTTATAAACATGATATCGACACATGCCCAGCCAACGGATAGACATATCAAAAAGCGAGATTTTCGGTGAACTAACTGTAAACTTAAACAAACAAAACAAATAACGAGTGACACATGTTGAGAGTTTTACGATATCTGTTCAGTATCAGAATCGGATAACCCAATAATCACTTATTATTACTATTCTTAGAAATTAGCTCCACCAACTTACTTCCCTGAGGAAGTTCCCATTCGGGGTGAAGAATGATTGGAACAAGTTCAATCATCATCATTTTCATAAGCAAAACAAGAAAGACATTTTAACAGTAATGACTAGACAAAGTTCAACAAAATGGGGAAGAATAATTTGTTGACAATAAGGTTGACTGGGAAGTAAAACTCATACTCTCATAGTCATGGACAAATCTACTTGACTGTTGTTTTTCTTTCCTTCCTTTTTCCCCACCTCATCCATGTTTAATAAAATGAATAATATAAATATTCTCATTAGAATTTAAAAAATATTATCAGGTTGCAGGTGAGGTGAGAGGAATTAAAAATAATTATTACTCAAGCTCAATTGATAATACTTTGTCCAAATATGGTGGCGGGGAGTTGAGGAATCCAAGGACTGCAGGGGAGAGAATTCTGGATCCATATTTCATGCTTTCACCCAATCCAAGCTAAATTATTGGTTAGAAAGAAAGAAAATGAAAGAATTCCGATGGGTATTACAGTTTTATAATCAAAATTTTCGGATCGTCCAGAGGATAGAAGAAACATCTTATCAAATCTTCAATAACTTTCAATCTCTAGCGAAGTTCTCTATAAAATTATTATCTGGATGAAGTCATGGTCATTTGTCAAATCTTCGGTAACTTTCGAAAGAATATCGTAAGATTCTCAATAACCTCTTTTGATTTCTTCAAGTAATAGATACTTACTTACCACCTTCTTCTCGCAAGAGCTAAAGCACATGTTTTTTTTTTTTTTGGAAATCGAGTTTAACAACCACGTAATCAGCTCGCTGGTTATTGAAGTACATGTTTTTATGCATTATATTGTTTCCCAATCTTCGTTTCGGTAGGATTATCATGTATTTGTATCAAACATATTCCACAATTCGTACAATCATACGAGACTCAATACTACAAATTACAATACTTATAAACCAAACATGCATTACATGAGTCCTTACAAACCCACTTGTAAAAAAACCCAATGAATTCCAAAATTCTTCATTTCTTACACTACTTTTGGTAAGTACCTATTGAGTCGCTAGAATATTGTATTTGATGTAATGGAATTCAGCTGATGAAACACCCATATCTGCGTACTAAAGTCTAAAAATAGGCGACGATATTCTTCCTAAAGGTAGAGAAAATGTCTCGAGTCAATGTTCCCACGTTATTTATTTCCAAAAATTCAGTGCTATAAACAAATTTATGTAAACCGTACTAAGTTTGATGGAAACACCAAAAAACTTTTACATCAAGTGGATAAAATGATGTGCCTGTAATAATAATCCATCCTATGAAGAAGAAGAAGAAGAGAGAGATGTCGGTTATGTGAAAAATGAGGAAAAAGGATATTCCCTTCCGTTTTGGCCATTTTGTACAGAACAGAAAAGCCAACAAAAAGGCCATTCATTATCACAATATCAAATGAGAAAAAGACTTTCAATTGTGCTTTGCTTTGGTCCCTCTCTTTGCAAACAAAACACCACCACCACCATTTGCCCACCTTTCTCTACTTTGGTAGTGACCTATAGCCGAGACAAATCCACCGATCCATCTATGGATTGTATTGCCAACACTTTCCTTTCAGTTTGTATCTCACAAAAACAAAAAGAGGTGGTCATTTTTGTCTTGCCATTTATCTTTTTGGGGATTTTGCTACCATACTTCTTGGAGGGTATAACACCGTTAAATCGGACGTAATGTGATTTCAATCGCTGAATGCATGTATCTTTTACGATTGAAATCACGGTACCTTATGATCTAAGCGATGTCGATTCTCGATCATGTATGTTCCTCAATTTGCTGATCAAGCTGGTTGCTTTGTATTACTAACGTCCAACTCATAAACATGCTAACTGGACTAACCAGTCAATATATGCTAACGAAACGTATCCTTTCTGTGAAAGCTATCTTATAGGATGCCAAAGCAGTCGAAATTAATGCAATCTTAAACTAATTACGCAGAAACCAAAATATTTATAATACAGATACACAGTATTTTGAGAATTCCGTTTTATTATAACATAAAAAAAAAATAAAGAGTGATTACTTAACAATTGAAATCACGAAACCATACGATCCTATGATGTTGACTCCTGCTCATGTCTACCCCCTCAATTTGCTTATCAAACTGATTATTCCGAAATACTAACGTCCAACTCTATCATCTTGCCAAAGGACTCAAAATTTAGTTATATGTAAATATTAAACTAATCATGCAGGCCCCCAAACACACATATATAATACAGATACACCATACTTGAGAAATTCTTTTTATCAGGACACAAAAGAATGAAGAATGATTACTTTAATACCAAATTCTGGTTTAATTTAAAGTACGGTGTGCAACTTGGAACACTAATATAATGTTTCCTTCAAACCCCACTGACTTAAAAGGCAAAGGCATTAACAAATGCTGAGAATCATCAGATGATTGAATTCTTCTGATGATGCAAGATTGGAATGTAATCCATAAGAGTATTTTATCACTCACCAGACCCACTGATCTTTGTTATCATGGCTCTCAAGGCTTGAAAACAACCAGGTCGACCTCTTCCCACCAACTGGCCTGATCTAACTACTTGTGTATATTACTCGGTACCGGCTTGATCGTTGGAGTGTAGATTAATCGAGGATCGTTTTCCCCTGAGTTTCAAACTTTGTTGTAATCCATTGAATGAACTCAAAAGAAAACAAAACTCTGACTTAAGTTCAGTTTCATGCGCTTATACTTGACAACAGTATGTGATTTTTTGCTTGTATGTGATGCAAGGGAATGGTCATTTTGCCCCTTTAGGTTTTTGTAGAATCGGCTACTCTACAGTGTCTTGCTTCGGCTCACAGAGCTGCAGCTTCAACATTCAAACGAAAGACATACCAGTCTACGAAGCATCAATGTGACTCCTTACAATGAGCTTGTCTTCTTCTTCTTCAAATACCAAGAACGCATCCTTCGTTCATTCGCTTAATTTGCAGTACCTCATGTCAAGCCACCTTTGCGCCAGAGCTGCAAATTTAACCCGAGAATACGTTATGCGATCATACACATATATAGAAGCGTATACTGCAACAAATTTCTCAAAAGCAGAAGCAGCAAGTTGGAGGAAGTCTGAGCCATATGCCCATATCCATTTCCAGGTACCTTGTGCTCATCAGAAAATGGAGAACAGTAGAGGAAGGGTACTCTTATATGCCATTTCGCTCATACAATTTCTCATAGTTAAAAAGCAACTATACAATGTGCATCAAAGCAACTGGAAAACAGCAAGTTGAATCATCTACTGTGGTAATAATGCAAGACAAAACTGGCAAACTCTACCTATTACTTTCGATGTGCCTCTATATCTGGCGTTAGCTTCTGTGGCCTGTTTTTCCTCTGCCGATATTTGGCGTACGAATACCACAATCCACCAGCTGTGTTGATGACCAGACCAGTCACGTTCAGACCATGCACTTTCACCCCGCCAAGTAAGAAGAAACCAAGAGTCTGAACCAGAATCAGCAAAAGAAACGTCAAGCTCAGACCTTTATGCAGAGTATCTGATCCAACATCTCATTAACAAACGAATACCCAAAACCCGATTCACCCCCACAACACAATTCTAATTAGTGAACAAGCTTAAGGTGAATTGGTCTTACCGTGGATCCAACACCTTTGAGAACGCCTACTATAGTTGTTGTCAGAGCTGAGTTGACTATCGTACATAGGAACATGGTGTAGTTGAGAATGATCCCCATCACCAATGAAAGAATGAGTATCACCAAAAATGACAAGGAATTACTCTGTCCACAGAAGCATGAAAAAGATTGTGTTGCTTCAATAAATCATCAGTAGTGGATACAAATTCATGGCAAGGAAGGCACATTATAATGCTTAGGCAAGAGTCCTTCATGTAATATTGCCAGAGAACAGACACATTGTTAAGTACAGGCTATGCGGTGATCTAAGAATTTGAGGCTTCAATTATAACTTAGCGATGCATGGTGACAATTATCAAGTATTTTGGCTTTAGCACCGTCGAAAATTTCATTTCTTTCAACTTTCAAGAGGATAAAGAAAAAATCACGACTAAAGGCAAAAATGTTAAGATCTCTCTTACCTTTGCGATTAACAACACCAAAGAGTCGGGAAATTCTCGAGTAACGATGATGAGGAACATCAAGAATGGAAGAGACAAGAAGCTGTTGTAGAACATTATCTCAACTGAAGAAAGCCCATCTTCTGCACCAGACTTCTCCACTAAAACAAGGTACATTGTCTGCATAACATAGAAAGCACTAGTACCATCAGCAACAGAAAACGACTAACTCAAGATGTAGTTGAAGGCCTTAAACACTGTTAAAATCGGTAATAGACTAACCTGGAAGAAAACAGAAACAAATGCCAGGCCGTAACCAAACACATCGAAGGAAAAATCTCCAAGCGCTGCGATAACAACCCCTCCAGCAGTCAGCAGGACAGATAGAGTCACCTGAAAATATGACAAAGACGTGTTAATGTTTGAACAAATCGATACACAAAAGGAACTCAAGCCCACCACTCATATGAAGAAGCATTTCAAAAGAGCAAATGTGGACCTGCGTTGAAGGCCTTCCTTTCCCAGCGAAAAAGCCAGCAATCAGCACAGCAAGAGGAGTCAGCCTCTTGATGGCAATATACATGGGAATGTTAACCCCTTTCAAGCTGGCCAGAGCGAATGCCACATTGGCATTGTAGAAGAGAGAAACAGGGAGAAGTCTCTTAGCTGTTTGGAGATCGAGTCCCTTCGATCTCGTGTATCCCGTTTTCCGCCCAACATGTATAAGCAAAGCTGTAGCCACTTGCTAAGGAAACAACCACGCAACCAAGACGAAACCTTTAAGCAATGATTATGAGCCAAAATTTTGCATTTTATAGCCAGAGGAATGTGGAAGAAATGAGGTTTTACTTGGAGAGTGAGAAGTGTCATAGAGTGAGAATACTGCATAACAATGGCCTTGTTGATAAACACCATCGCCATTGAAGCAATCCCATATGAAATCGCCGCAAACAAACTGTGTTAACAAGGAAAGATCAGGGTCCTTTCGTAAAACAAGAAAAGATCAGTCCATTGAACAGTAACTAGACTTAAAGTTCATAATAACTTGCTAAAGCTTCCAAATTTAACATGACAAGTCTGAAACCCGCACTTGAATTGCATGAAACAGAGTGAAATGAGACTGAGTATAGTTCTGCATCAAGTGAATGGCCATGAAAAGGCAGCAAATGGGAAAGATGAAACAAGTAAAGAACCTGAGAAAAGAACTTGGGTCAGCATCACTGCGATTCTCCATGACTCCCGATCTACCAAAAGAAACTGGACAAATGTCTCTCACCCGGCTCTCTTGAATTATTATCACATAATCCGATTCCCAAATGCAATTGAAACTGCAAATCAGAAACCAACCCAAAGTCGCTTGCTTGAAAGAGAATTAAGATGAAAGGGGGCGAAACAGAAAGGAAGCAATGATATCGGATCCAGAATCGCAAAGAAGTACGGACCTGAAAGGAGTGCAGCGGCGGGATTCAATTGACAGTGCGAGAGAACCGCATTAAGAACTGGAGCCGAATTGTTGGGTTTTTCTGTGAATCTAAGGGGAAGAAGTCATTAGTGGGTAACGTTCGAAGAAGGGAAGAGGCGTGGGTGCGCGGGGAGAGCGGCGTGGTGTTTGCTGCTGTGGGAGTTTGGAAGTTAGTGAATTGCAGTAAAAGATGTGTTGCTATTAAATTATTTCATCTGGGTTTTTACTGTTGTAGTGAAAAAAGGAATCGCCATTAACAGGAAGCTGGAATAACTGGATGGGAAGGGAAGGAGATGGTGAGTTGAAGATGCGGGATTGAGGTGATGGCGATTAGCTTTTTACTTTAGGGAGCCCCTGAATACTGAACTGAACAGGTAATTACTTCCCCTTTGCTGGTCTGTAATAGCAATTAATGTCTTAACAATAGTCAAACACGTATACACTCCCAACCATCAACCATTTTCCATCAAACTTAACAAAACAAACAAAAAAGTTTTAGCTTGTCATTCAACTATTATCATCTCAAATTCTCAGGCGTTGGAGTATAGGATACTATTTAAAACTAGATTTGGGTACGCCCGTTGGCCAGATGAATTACATCAATGATATAAACAATAATGATAATTTTCTGAACCAATTTACATTTTCATTTGCTATCATGAAACAACTCAAATTATTAAATTACAAAAAAAAAATCAGAAAGCAACATACATCTTATTTTTTACGGACATCTTGATCATTAATGGACAAAAGTTTTTATCAAAAGTAAAAAAAACACAACTCATGTAGGGAACTATTCATAAAACGTTGAATATGAGAAATGCATGGTTTACTCTTCGCTATTAAAAATTACCACAAATTTCATTTTGGGTGTCTTTGCCATTGCTTTGCCATCAAAAGTAGGGGTGGCTATACGGTCCGGTCCGGTTAAATTGGATCAAATTGATTCGGTCTCAGTCCGGTCTTTTCGGGAATATAAGGACCAAAGATTGGATTGGATACAGTCCGGTCTTGATCCGGTCCGGTCCCAATTTTATCTTGATTTTAGGTGTTGGGGGTCTCTTATCCGGTCTTTATCCGGTTTTTTACTTCAAATCTAAGCCCGAATATGAGATTGCATTGTTTGCTATTCGGTCCCGGTCCGGGTAATACGGTCCGGTTTCGGGTAAAACCAAACAGTCCGGAACCAAATAGCTAGCCCTAATCAAAAGCATCTTCTCCACACAACTTCATCTTCATTAAAGAAACCTTTATTATCATTGAAATTTATATATAAACCATCAACAATCTCTTTCTTTATCTCAATAACGTCAGCATCTCCATCACTGAATTCACTAACTCCACCATTAGCATAATCTTCCTTCTTCTCCTACATTTCACCGAATGCAAATATTTAATGGCAAAATATTTAGGATTGTGAAACCCATTTTGAAATACTTAAATTTACCTAGTGCATGTCATGAAATTTGTCTAATATTGCTCTTCTTCACCTTTCATTATCTTAAAAAATGTGACCCGCTTATGGGGTTCGCAATGTTGTAATACATGAGTTTGATCTGAAAATTTAACTCATTCTCTCAAGTTGTAGGGATAAGGAGGTGATGGTTCACTCATTTTGTCACTATCGTTGAGTAGTTTCTCAATAGACGTTTCACAAAATATAGATACAAATCTATAAAGTTAGATTAAACAATGTTGTCTACAACTCGGAGCTGAATCCTAAATCTATATAATAATAGTAGTTAAGATACACTATTTGGTTGAAAACTTTATATTTTAGTGGGTACAATTATCTTCTCGAATGAATAAATTTGGAGTTAAAAACAATAGAACAATATAGGCAGATTATTACCGAACTACTATTGTCTTTGAGGTTGTTGTACAATTCTTATAAAATATCTCATTGTAGTATTCTTCAACATTTCTTTGGAACATTTCAATTCATATGATTTTTATAAATCTTTGTTTTATAAAGCAGAGTTAAAATGAATGAGATATAGTTTGTTGAATTTGCAAGAAATTGAAAAACTCTTAACTATAGCTATTGATATTTGTCCCAACAGTAACTAAAGGAGGTTATGCATCAAAATCCCAACTCCTTTTTACATGGGATGTTTGGAGATAGAGCTGGAACACTGTTTTGTCAATTATATGATTTTTCATGCGGAATATTTTTTCAAGGCATAAAATCAGTAAATAAAGTAATCAATTTTGTAGCTACTGTTTTAATCATTCGCTTGAGAACACATTTTTAGAAGTTCTTTTTTGTGAAAACCAATTTATTTATGTGAAGATCAAAAGATGAAATACCATGCAAAAAGCCCAAACTCAGGCAATTATGGTACCTGACGTAATTATAATATCTTAGAGCAAATTAAATGTGAAGTAGAATGACACAAATCATAAATAAATAAAAGAGAAGTAGAGTCACTCGGAAATTCCAACACACACAAGAAAACCAGTTTTCTTCCTTTCCAACTTCCCTCCTCCAAAAATTTCCACTTGTTCATCTCAAAAGCGATGCAACCAGTCCGGGCCGCTTCGACCATCCTCTCGTCGAGGGTAATGGCGCCGCCCTCTTAGATTCCCCAAATCGAGTTCATCGTTCCTGGTCTTGTGATCGAGAAAAATCAAAGTGATTCCTGTCAGCAGAATCCTGTTCGTCATCGACGTCTGAGAGGTATGTTTGTTTTAATAGAGAATATTATCGCCTCCGTGCGAAATCGCCAATATCGGCGTTCAGCCACCGGGCTGCTGCCGCTCCGGGCATCCTTTCGTTAGGTAAAAGACCGTCACCAGCTTTGGAGTTCGGAGTCTCCGTCGATTGGACAAGTGTCCTGCAGATGGGTCTGTCATTGGGGATGTGGGAGGCGTACCTGTATCCACGTCGTCATCACGATTATCATTATCTTGATATATCATAAGTGGTCACGTGGGTAAGGCTAGGCCCTAATTTTCCAGACGCTTCTTGAGTTGAGCTGGCTTGGATTTTTATCCTTGTGGGCTACATGGCTTACAATTATTTTATTCTAGTAGCCTTTTGCCTCTTAGAAAAGTCCATCTTAGATGCGTTGTCGTTTTGTACTACCATTATTTGTCATTCTTTGCGTCTATTTAACCCGTTGGAGTTCATAACCTGACCAGTTGCCCCCTCTCTTCGATCTGCTCTCTCTAAAGTCATGGCTGAGGCTGGGATTGTGGTTTTCAATGATGAGGATATTGTCGTCGGAGCTGAGCGTCGTGACCTATCTTTTATCGGAAGGGTGTTTGACTCGGCTCCATCGATCAATATCCTTCAATCTCGCATGGCCGGAGTTTGGCGTTGTAAAGGCTCCCTTTCCACTTCACCTTTGGATTTGGGGCTTATTCAGTTTGTATTTTCTGATGAGAGGGATTTGAAACGAGTTGTGAGGTATTCTCCGTGGTTCCTTTCTAAGTTCATGATTCACCTCATCCGTTGGGTTCCTATCACGCAGGCTGTGTCAGATTCCCTACAAAACGTTCCTCTCACGCTTCAACTTTGGGGTTTCCCTTCTGACTGTTGTACTGTGCTCTTGGGGTCAAAGCTTGGCAATGCGCTGGGAGAGGTGGTGTCGGCGGCTATTCACCGGTCGGTGGCCTCGGGTGGCCTTTATATTCGTCTCCAAGTCCGCCTTGATGTATTGGCGCCTCTGCCACTATCTCTCTCGGCTGCTCATGAAGATCCTACCAAAGGGAGGTTCGAGGTGATTATCAAGTTTGAGCGTTTACCTCAATTCTGCTTCTTCTGTGGAGTTATCGGGCATATTGGACAATCCTGCCCTCTGAAAGCGGAACTCTCACTCTTTCCCCCTGCTTATGGTGTTGCGTTATTGTCTTCTGAAAGTGGACCGCGAGTTGACGAAAGCACCTTGCGCAAGAGGAAACGCCCTTTCACCTGGATAAGGGAGGGTGTTTCGAATGGTTCACCTACTTCGAGCAATCCCTCTACCTCGGAGATGGCTGCCTTTTGAAGTCTAATATATCTTTTTGTGTAGCACTTTTGTCACTGTCTATAGTGAAATCCTAGGGGGTTTATCTTATTCTCATGGCCTTCTTTTGACCATGTTATATAGATCGCTAGGCTGCTTCCTTGGGCTGAAAATGTATGTGCTCTTATGTAATATAACTAACTTACTAGTTACTACTCACTGGTGCATGGACACCTCTTGGGAAGTTTTGTTCATACCCCTGTAAAGGATGATGACTCTCTTTTTTAATGACAGTCCTTGTTTGTTGTTTTATCTTTTCCTTTATTGTTTGTTCTACCAATTCTTTTTGCTCATCTTCCCTGATTGTTTGTGTTTTATCTTTAATTTTATGTTCTTCCCCTGAGATGTTGAGATGAGGTCTCATGCTCTTTTTGCTCATCTTCCCTGATTGTTTGTGTTGACATGTTTGCGGTTGGATGTCTTTTCAATAATTATTCTTTGGGTTTCTAACTTCTTATCTCGTTTACTTTGTTAGATAGGTTTGTTTAGTTTTGTTGGATTTATTATATCTTTTAATTGTGTTGGAATGGTGGAATTTTTTATCAAGCTTTGATCAAGCTTGGCGCTATTCAGTGATGTGTATTTTTGGCATTTGGCCCATTTGTTTTTTTGTTTTGCAGGGTCAGCCGAGCAGTGGAACTTCTTCTCCCCAGTGGTTTGCATTGAGTTATTTGGTTCTGATCACTACCTATTAGTGGCGGGTTTGTTTGGCTTTTGCAGGACAATTTTACTCTTCAGGTGGCCTGGTGAGTTCAGCTTGCTTGCATCTCCGACGCTAAATGTGCTTTTTCTATCGGAATTGCAAGGATTTGCTTCTCTGCTTCAGTTTCAGCATGGTGCAGCGGATTTTCCTCTTATTTGGTCTTTTGCCACAGTGGTTTCTCCAATTGTCTTGATCAAATGCTGGGTGATATTACTACCAGCCTCTCTTCCCTTCCTGCTACATCATTTGGATGTTTGGTGATTTTTTCCATTCTATGATTCTGTTGGCTTATTTGGAGCTCTACTTTTTGTGCTTGCTCTCCTTTGCTTGATACTCTGCTCCTGATCGATTTATGCAATTAGTTTCAGATTGGACTGCTTTTGCTTATTCCTGTTGAATATATGTGCCTGATTTTGCTTCCATTGGTGTTCTTTATGCATAATTGCATAGTAGTTTTTAGAAATTATTAGGCAATTTTTATTGGGTCTTCTCTTTGTTATATGCATCTTGCAGCTCCTCCCTCCTTCCCTACTCCTGACCCCAATTACCGGCAGTTCTGGCCTCCGGCATCTTCCTCCGTCCAGAGATTACCCTTTATTTTCTTTGTTGTTGTCCAACTGACATGTGGCGTAGAGCTAGCGGTGCGGTGGCGGGTTGGATAAGAATTATCCTTTATAGCATTTCTAGTTAATATGCCCTTGTTGTGTCTTTAATTGTCACGTCTCTTTTGTGACTGCGCTGGTTTTCAGTGAGTTTTATTTTATTGGACTAGTAAAGCATTGGATATTTTGTTGTTGGCTTTTGTCCGTTGCTCCTTTTTGTTTGTTATTTACAGGGCCAAGAAAGGTTTGTGCGGATCCAGATGCATCCATTCAGATCGTGATAAAGCTGCTTGTCTCTTTATTCTTAGGAACTAATAGAGCTGCCCATTTTGTGGTATAAACGGCTCTTTCATCGCCAGTTCGATTAGTATCGACTGGCGTTATTTTTCCCCATTGTAATCATATCTGTCTACTATTTCATCTGACTATGATAAAGAAAAAAAGAAGAGAAGTAGAATGGCACATATAACCTTCCCTCAAATGCGCACATGCCCTCCTTTTCCGGTCTAACCCCATCCTCCCGTGGAATGTCTATATATTAGTGTGTAGATAGATGTAGATAGAAGAGTGTAGAAGATGCCTTCAAACGAGAGAATACATGTTTGTTTCCTTTTTCGTTTCCTGTTTTCTGTTTTCATGTTACAAATTTGGGAAACGAAACGAGAAAACATGTTTACTTTTCATTCTGCTTTCTATTCGTTTCCAACTCTGAAAACATAAAGTGGCAAATTCCTACTGTTTTCGAAAACGAAAAAATGTCGTTTTCACCTGTTTTCAACATCCGTTTTCTAAAAAACAAGAAACAGAAATGAAAGTAAACAGGGCCTAAGGGTTTCGTCCGGTGGTTATCCATTGGGTTTGAAGCCGGAGATTCTATATTCAAATCTATCCAAAGTAGAAGATGCTCTATGTTCTCGTGCTCCATCAATTATGATTTTTATATGCCTAACAATATTACACATAAATAATTACCAAAAAGGTATATTATTTATATTTATATAATTAATTACCATTTGTTTGATGTTTGATTTGATTCGTAGGATTATTTCTTTCTTTATTTGACTGATTTGAATGGCATAAATGGAAATCCAAAACGTTGCAATTAAAGAAAGAAGAAAAAAAACGGACAAAGTACACTTGCTGGACTCTGATTGAGACAGTGGAACTTCCAATGCATGCGAAGGGAAAACGAGAACAGAGAGCAACAGGGAAGGTGGGGAAAAAATGGCGACAATAATTAAAACCAAGGTAGCAGCTGGAGAACCCGTCACTCACTTCGTCATGGCGCAAGAACCGCAGGAAGATGCTGCAATGGCGGCCTGTACTAAACCCCATTTCTTTCGCCCACTCCTTCCCGGTTTTGAGCATCGGCTTGTACTAACAACCTCTCTCCCTCTCCCTTTTCTCTTCTCTCGATTTTACCCAACAGTCGTGACCCCGCAAAGCATTTAACTTTTCTTTCTTTTTGTACATCTTTGCAGTCAATTCCAGTGGCCTTCTCCGAAAGGTTCTTCGATGGCGGGGAAATGGCGGGCGAAACTGCTGCCGTGCTGAGAAGCCCTGGCGGGAAATCGTACCAGGTGAAGATCAGTGGTGGCAGAGAGTTCAGTGATGCGGGTTGGAAGGCGTTCGCTGCGGACCACAGCTTGCATGTGGGCGATTTCGTGGTGTTCAGACATGATGCACGTATGGTGTTCGACGTAATGATCTTCGACCCGAGTGCTTGTGAAAGAGTGTACCCTTCTTCTTCTCCGTCGTCGTCTCTTCCGTTCCTCGTCCCTGTCAAGCCAGAGCGTGAAACAATTCCGGTCGATGATGATGAACAACCCGAAACTGAACTAGATAGCAGTAAACAAACTTCGGCTGTTTTAGTCCCCTTTTTTCTAAAGATCGGTCGATTGTTAGATACCCAGAAGAAAAGTTGCATGCTTTAACAAATCTTGTTGAAATGATTCAGGAACAACGGATGAGAGTGGTGATGATAAAGTGCAGGAAACTTCAACGGTGAAAGCTGCTGCTGGGTCCGTGCCGAAAGGCCCTTTCTTTGTGGTCACTATCGGGAGGAACACCCTGAAAAAGAACAGGCTGGTTAGTCACTCTCTTGTTCATGTTTGCGAATTGAAGGGATCAATGAGACGGGAGAATAATTTGATTACTGTCTGCAGCCCATTCCCAAAGAATTTACGATGAAGAATAACCTGGAATCTCGTCGTCTTGCTATGGTTTTGAATGAAGAGGGAAATTCATGGCCTGCACATTTGATCATCACCAACAGGCTTGCCTATCCTAAATACAGACCCCAAGTAGTTCTTGGACGAGGTATCGGTCAATTCCTGGAAGACAACGGGCTGCAGCTGGGAGATACTTTCTACTTGGAACTTGTTCAAGGTGGAGAGAATCCTGTATTCAGAATGTCTGGTGAGTACTTTTCTTCCTCCTGATTATAGAAAGAATTGAACTGTCTATACTATCAAGGTTATTAGTACTCTGATTAACTTAACTGCAAGATATCTGGTGTCTGTTATGACTGACTGATGTGAAGGGTTGCATTCCGATCCTGAGGCCATGAAAAGGGAGCTAGAAAAAGTGAGGAAGAAGATCAAACTAACGGAGGTAAAGGAGGAGCAAATTCCTTCTGGGTCATCCACAGCCATGCAAAACCATTTCCTCATCAAGTTAACCAACCGCTACTTCGACGGATATGCACTGGTTAGTAACGTAAGCTTGTTAATTAGTTCAAAACTATGCTTGATCAGCTTCTTACAAGTGGTTTACTTTGCGGTGCAGCATATCCCAAAGGAGTTTGCCCTAAATAATGGTTTGATTGGTTTAAAATGTGTAATGATCCTACGAAATGAAGAAGGAAGTCCCTATCCCGTGAAGTTAAGGAGTAGCAAGGCCGGTAGACCTTTCATCGGAACTGGCTGGTACGACCTAGTAAGAGCAAATCGCCTAAGAATGGGAGATGTCTTGAGGTTTGAACTCGTTGAAACTGGAATGAACCCTGTTATGACGTTTAAGGTAACTAGAATCACCCTTTGTCTGCCTAAACTAAACATTTCCCTTTTCTTCTTACCCTTTGTTCTCTCATATGCATATAACTTGTATAACCACGAGTTGCAGCCTCTTGATGATAGAAGATAGGAATATTTCCGAGTACAAACCACTAGCTGGTCTTCTGCATGGAGCTAATTTGTTTCAGAAATTTGCAGGTGGTGTCACAGGAGGAAACCTGCAATCGAGGGTGAATACACAGAACTGTATTGTACTGTCACTCAACATTGTCTCACTGTCAAAGAAAGTTGTTTAGAGGAGTAATGGAAATGCTTATGGTTTGTAAGCAGCAGCAGCAGCAGCAGTAATGAAATATATTTCCTTCCAATTTGTCTTCATCAAAGTAGCAGTGTGGATAAGTTGAGAATGCTCCAAAAGAGGCTGCTGATAAGTTGGACTTGTATCACAAGCTACAAAAGGGTATAATTCCTCTGTTTTCAGAATAACTCTACTAGACATGCACAAGGGAAAATTAGGAGTTCTTTGCTCACTGATTGATCGTTTATAAAAGTTTGTGAACCATTTATGGAACTATTTATACTTGTAAGAAGAATATGATGAAATTATTGACAACCATGAACAATTAGAATCACATCTACCATCAAGGTTTCCATGAAACATCCAAATGTCTCACAGAAATCATAAATATTTTATCAAAAACATGGATCCAAATACATAAACTCGTAGTACTATAAGTCCATCATCAATTCCACCACATCTAAAACGAAACACGTACATTAAACTTGAAATTTGTTCATATTAATATTTCATTTAAATTAACGAAACAGCTAACCTTAGATCATCCCGATTCCGACTATTCAATATTTATGGATCACGGTTAGCTGCGCTTTAAGTAAAATGAACTGACCAATTTTTGAACATGAACGAACAGTTAGGTTTGGTCAGGTTATAATTGGACTAGTGAAGCTATTTCTTCGTTATTTTCTACTTCATTTTCTTGCCCAAACAAAAAAACACCCTTGATTGCATCCAATCATGTAGTACTGTAGTATTTTTCTCCCTTGTAGAAAGTACCAAACATTTTTTTTTAAAAAAGCCACTTTGTCAAGGCTACAGAGTACGGGAGATGGGTCATTGCTCATCAGTCATTTCTCGTTTGCTTTACATTAAAAGTATGCATGGAAAGAATAGAAAACAGATAGAGAACCAGAAAACGATAGTGGTGACTCGGGTGAGTAATAAATAAATAAGTCAAGAAGACCACTGATGAATGATCCCCACTCCCCAGCAAAGTTTCCTTTTCACAAAACACTCCACAGCATAGTTAAACAGAAAACAGAGGAGGAAATGAAAAAACAGGGCAGAATGATTCCCAGCAAGCCGCACTTCTTCCAGCCACTACTTCCAGGTTTCGAGCTTCAATTCGTAAGCTCCCCTCCTTCTCTATTGGTCACATTCCTGTTTATGGATTCTCCAGCTAAAGAGAACTAATCAAAACTTTCACCTTTCTTCTTCTGTTATTTGTTATGGACTCAGTCGATGCCAGAAGCCTTTTACAAAAACTACTTCAACGGAGGGAAGAAGAAACGTGGTGCTGACCAGGCCGTCGTTCTAAGAACCCGCCGCGGGAAGTTCCACGCGGTGAGAGTGAGTGGCAGAGCATTCAAAGATGGCTGGAAGGAATTCGTGGAGGAGCACGATTTGCACGTGGGAGATTTCCTGGTGTTTAGGCTCGACGGCGAGATGGAGTTTCATGTAATGGTGTTCGACCCAACTGTCTGTGAGAGGCAGTACCAGCAGGTCTCCTCTGTTTCAGCGAAACAGAACCAAATTCCTGCAGCAGCTGGAAACGTCTTTGTGGAAATAGAGGTTGAAGAAACTCAAATTCCTGCCGTTGAAGAGACCAAAGATGACGGTTTTCATTTTAGTACGTAATAAAGTTTTCGCCTTTAGATCTAGTTTGAGAAAACCCTTCTCTTTTTGTGGCTTTTGCTGAATTGGGTATGTGAGATTTCGAGTGAATTTAACGGTTTCGTGTGGATGGAATGGTTTCTTCAGGAACACCCAGAGAGGAAAATATTGGAGATAAGGCAAGCATTGGAGCAGAGAAAGCTGGGACTGCTTTCCCAAACAGTCCCTTCTTTGAGTTCACTGCAGGGACCAACACTTTAAGCAATCATAGAGTGGTTGGTATAATATGGCGCTTTGTGAATTTCATTCTGTTGTTGAATAGGGTAAATGACATATGAGTGGCATATTATTTGAGCAGTATATCCCGATGAAGTTTGCGAGGGAAAATGGTCTGGCGGGTAAGTCTTTTGAGACCATTGTTATGGATGAGGAAGGAAGGCCATGGCCAGCTAGGTATCTTAGCTACCCGAACGCCACTAATTTAGTTCATATCGGGGATCGTTGGAGGGAATTCCAGAAGAAAAATGGCTTAGAGATGGGTGATAGTCTCAAATTTGAGCTTGTTCAAGGCTTGATGAAGCCCGTCTTCAGAATGTCTGGTGGGTTTTCTCCACATGGTTATATGCTGTTACAAATCTGTCTTTAAGCGCAAGCCACCATTTGGTTCCTTGCTCTTGTTGGTTTTTCAAGCTTTTGATCTCTTCCCCATTGGCATCGTGGAAGGTTTTGGGATGAGGAGGATGGAGAAGGAGGTAAAGATGGAGCTAGTTCATGAAGGATCAATAGCAGCTGCTCCTGCAGTGTCTTCAAGAGATAATGTGAATACTGAAGTTGTTCAAGAAGTACTGAATCCTGCCTACAAAGTGTCTGGTGGGTTATCATCATTAGACATCCAGTTTTATGATATCAATGTCACAAACCAATACAGCCCAATGACCTTGATTTGTTAGAAGATGTTGAAAATTGTATTTGCACAATTCTTCATAGATTTTATCATTTTAATTACTCTGATCTGTCTCTTTGAAGAACTACATCCAGATCCAAAGGATACTGATGAGATTCTGAAGGTGAAGCAAGAGCCGGTTCATGAAGAATCAGCATCTTCAAAAGATGGCAGTTCATATCCTACAATCAATTTACCAGGAGGTTGTTTGAAAGGAGGCTTTCTGGTTTATGCTATCACATCTCTTACTTGAAACAAACCATCAGTTGATAATTCCATGTTCTTGTTGATGTTTAAGCTTTTGACTTCTCCCCGTTGAATTTGCCAAAAGGTTTTGGTATGAGGAGGATGGAGAAGGACATAAATAAGGAGCCGGTTCTTGAAGAGTTACCAGCTGCTGCTGGAGTGTCGTCAAGCGATAGTGTGAATGTTGAAGTTGTTCAAGATGGACAGAAGCCTGCCTTCAAAGTGCCTGGTGGGTTCTCATCATTAGCCTTTGAAGCTCTTACATTTCAAATCTTTGTTTACTGTTACTTAAAATCTCTTAATCGGTTCATCTCAATACCTTGAGTTTGTGGAATAATGTTCAAGAATTGATCTTATATATATAATTTTCTTACATGCTTTTTCTTCAAATTAGAACCAACTGACTCGTGTGAAGTTCGCACAACTTCATCGTACAATGTGTTTAAATCAACTGTTTAGAGACAAAATATTTGTTCATTTAATGTCCTGATTCCATATCAAGAACTAATACAACCCAATAACTTTGACTTGTTGGAAGATATGGAAAAGGAAAAATGAAATTTCACTATTCTTGATAGCTTTAGCATTTCAATTTCTCTGATTTGTCTCTGTGAAAAACTAGATCCAATTCGTAAGATGGACACGAAGATTATGGAGAAGGAGGTAAAGGAGCCAGTTCATAAAGAATCGGCATCAGCTGAATCTTCCAAAGATGGGAATTCATATTTTACAGTCAAATTAACAGAAGGTTACTTGAAAGGAGGCTTTCTGGTCAGTTAACATATTTTGTTAGTTCATCATCCCAGTTTGTAATGGCCAACAGTGGGTTGATTGTTAATCTCCTCCACATTATTGTCTGCAGAATTTACCTCAGGAGTTTGCCATAAAGAATGGCTTACATGGGATATCAGTTAGCATGCTCCTTGCCAACGCTGTGGGAGCTCCCTTTCTTGTATCGTTGAAGACAACCCAAGCTGGTAGACCTTACATTGGAAGTGGATGGAGGGACGTGGTGGCGGCCAACCAACTTAGAATGGGAGATGTCGTGAGGTTTGAACTCGTCGAATCAGGATCGAACCCTGTCATGAATTTCAAGGTGATCAGCTCAACTTAAACCTCTAACTAGAGCAGCTGTAACTGAAATGGCTGCATGGTTTACATGTTCATGATGGGTTTCTACCAAGGAGGAAGCACTGTAATGTAAACTGAAATATAGCTGTGTTGTTGTAACATCTAACTTTGTACTTGTAAGGCCATGCAAGGCTGCGATGTGCATGTTCAATCCGATGAGGAATGCTGATTTAAACAGTCAGGGAGACACTAGCTGTCATTGTGTTGTTGTAGAGCCAGTGTGGGGGCTCATCATCCCCATGAAAATATAAGAATTTATCCATGTGATTTATGCATGATGAATCTATTTGAATGTTGTAATTAGCTTGCAATGAGTTTGTGCGTCTTTTTGTCGCCGATACTAAATAGTGTTTGCAAAATTGTTTTATACTGTCAATTCGATGGGAAAAATTGTATACCGAATCCTATATCTATGAACAATTTTAGTGATATCAAATTATTGAATCATTGTTAAACTACGGTTTCAAAACAAGTGACATAACCAGACTCCATCAAAACCAACAACAAAATGCACACACGCTGCTCAGTCTTCACCATTTCCCTCTTGAGAGTTCCATTTCATGCATGAAAAGAAGGGAAAAGAGGGAGGAGCAAAGTGAAGTGTGAACAGTAGATAGAACAAGCAAACCATCAGCCAGAAAGCATGCAGCAAGGGCAAAAAGAAAACTCATTCATGGCAGAACAAGGCAGCAGAAGAATGTTCAACAGTCGTCCCCATTTCTTCCAGCCACTCCTTCCAGGATTCCACGACCACTTTGTACGACAACCCTTTCCTTTTCCCTCTCTATATTTGTCTGTTCATTGGATCATGGTTGATAATGCATGAATATTAATTGCATGCTCTCAAGCAGTCGATTCCAGTTGGATTTGGCAAGTACTTAGAAGGAAGGGAAGTGGATGAAGAGAATGCTGTGCTGAGAAGCCCTGGTGGGAGAATCTACAGAGTGAAGATGGGAAAAGGAAGAGAGTTCAAAGATGGGTGGAAGGAATTTGTTCATGACCATAATTTGCATGTGGGTGATGCAGTGGTGTTTAGGCTTGTTGATGCCCCCACGGTGTTTGATGTCCTGGTTTTTGATTCAAGTGCATGTGAGAAGCCTTACTTTCTCGAAAAAGGTGTTGTGAAGACAGAGGAAGTTCAAGAAGAAGCAGAAGAAAAAAGACCACTGCCAGTTGCTGCTGATGTACCAGAACCTGCATCAGGACTTCATAATAGTAAGTATTGTTGTCCTATGACTTGAATGGGTAACAATTGCGGTTCAGAACCAGAATTCCTGAAAGAGGGTGTGTTTATGTCGATGGATACTTTTCTATTTAGGTTCCTGATTTTCTTGGAACTACTTTTTTTCTTGAAAATGGTTCAGGAACACCAATGGAGAAGATTGCAGTTGGGAAAGATGGTCCTTCTGAGCCTAAGAACCCCTACTTTATGGTATCCATACAGCCTGACAATCTCAAAAAGGGCAGACTGGTTAGTATCCAAAACACTTTAGTTTAGACTTTTAGACGGTAAGACTACAATTGTTCAGACATTCAAGGTTTGCAATTGTAACTTGTAAGCAGCGTTTACCTGGGAACTTTGCCAAGATGAATGGGCTGAATGTTACCAACACTGAGGCGGTTGTTCTGAACGAAGAGGGTAGATCGTGGCCGGTAAGGATTAACTGCTACTGTAAACCCTACTTCAGTGCTTACATCATGAGAGGTTGGAGAGTTTTCCAGATGGAAAATGAGCTGCAGCTAGGTGACACCTTCAATCTTGAACTTGTTCAAGGTGGTCAGAAGCCAGTCCTGAAAATGTCAGGTGGGTTCTCCACTTATCTCTTCATTGTTCACTTTTTCTTACTAGATCACTATTCCCACTTCTACATGATATCTGAGATTGAGCCTTGACCGACTCGTGAAGGACTGCATGCAAATCGAATGCTCGGAAAGGTGTACAGGGAGAAGGTAAGAAAGGAGTCAGGAAAGATTGCAGAGGAGGGTAAGACGGAGCCAATTCATGATCAAGACTCACCAGCTCCAGGGTTTTCAGAGATGGCAGATGCCCATTTCATGCTTACTGTATCTAGCCGTTTTCTTGGAGGAATTTCCCTGGTAAGTATCATGTACGAACTCCACCAATTCTAGATGGGAAAACAGTGAACTTGGTACATAATGAATGTTCGACTGCAGAGGATCCCGGAAGAGTTAGCCCGGCACAGCGGTCTATATGGCCTATCTCGGACTCTAGTCCTCAGGAATGAGAATGGAGGTGATTGGCAGGTGATGGTGACAAGCAGCAACGGCATTACTTACATTGCAAGTGGATGGACCCAACTGGTGAAGGAGAATGGGCTCAGCATTGGAGATTGCCTGAGGGTGCAACTCCTTGAAAGAGGAATGAACCCTGTCATGACTTTCAAGGTAACAACTGAACACTGTCCTTTCATCTTAACCCTGCACCCGGTTCAAGCATTGGCGTCAACGTCACTTAAGAAACGAAAAAAGAAACTTGGACCGTATCTGAAACAAAGTTTACTTTGCAGGTGGTTTCGAGGAATACAACTGTGCCAAAAGAAGAGAAGCCTTGATTGAAGATGAAGAAGTAACTAAGCCATAGAGCGGCTGCCCTGGTCCCTTGTTTTGTGTATATAAAACCAAGTCTGGTGCACTAATCACGGTCTTTCATCTCGAACAAGCTCGGGTTCAGCCAGTAATGGAGATCCTAGTCTGTCTCAGAAGTAAAGACCTTTCTGTATCTTAACTATGTAGTGGAATGAAATGTGAATGGAAACAAAGACAACATGATCTGACTAAAGGAAATTGTACTCAGAAGCCTCTCTAGGCTATAACATGAGGATTAGGAATGTGATCACATAATGCCAAGAACAAGAATGTGCCCTCAGACTTAACAATCTTTGTAATTGAAAAAGAAATATTAGACTTCAACAACAATACTCAAGAAAAGAGAGAAAAGACGAGACTTAAAAGTTAAAACAGAACAATTGCCATCACCAAACTCCATGAACCCAACAAGAACACATGCGCCCGCCGCCCTGTCTTCATCATGTCTCCCTTGGGAATTTCATTTCATGCATGAAAAGAAGGGGAAATAGGGAGAAGCGAAGCAAGTGAAGTACTGGAGGTAACCAGTATATAGAACAAAGGAAAGCATGCAGCAGAGACAAAATTCATGGCGAAACAAGGCAGCAGCAGCAGAATGATCAGCACTCTTCCCCATTTCTTCCAGCCCCTCCTTCCAGGCTTCCACAATCACTTTGTACGTACCCTTTTTTTTCTTTTCTCCCCCTCCTTTCTCTGTTTATTGGATCATGGTTTGTAATGCATTGATATTGCTTGCTCTCAAGCAGTCGATTCCAGTAGGGTTTGACAACAAGTACCTAAAGGTAAGGGAAGTGGGCGAGGAAGATGCTGTTCTGAGAAGCCCCGGTGGGGAAATTTACAGAGTGAAGATGGGGAAAGGAAGAGAATTCGAAGACGGGTGGAAGGAATTTGTTGACGACCATGATTTGCATGTGGGTGATGTGGTGGTTTTTAGACTTGTTGATGCTCCCCTGGTGTTCGATGTGATGATCTTTGACCCGAATGCCTGTGAGAGGCCATACCGCCGCCAACAACTTGATGCCAAAACAGAGGACGTGCAAGAAGAAGAAGAAGAAGAAGAAGAAAAGCCATTGCCTTGTGCTGCTGATGTACCAGAACCTGAAACAGGGCTCCATAGTAGTAAGTACTATTATCTCGTGTCTTGAAATGAGCTCATTGATGGACAGGAAGTGCGTTCTATTGATGGGTTCTTTACCATTTCTTATCTGTGTGTTTGCCTTTTCTTAAAGGGTCAGTGGATAATATTTCAGGAACATCAAGGGAGAAGATTGTGAGAGATGGCCCTTCTGAGGCTAAGAAACCCTACTTTGTGGTATCAATAAAGCTTGACAGTCTAAAAAGGGGCAGAGTGGTCAGTATCTAAAATGCTTTAATTTTGAGTTCATCTGGTGATGGTTTATGACTGTAGTTGTCTGGACATTCCAATCTGCAATTTTTTGTATGGGCAAATCTGCATTTTTGAGCAGATTGTACCTAAGTCATTTTCGAAGATGAATGGCCTGGATGCTGCGCACACTACTGATGCGGTTGTGTTGGACGAAGAGGGTAGATCGTGGCCAGTAGGGATTAATTACTACGGTAACTCCACTCGCACTACTTACATCGAACGAGGTTGGAAAGTTATCCAGAAGGAATATGAACTGAAGCTGGGTGACACCTTCAATCTTGAACTTGTTCAAGGCGGTCAGAAGCTCGCCCTTAGAATGTCCGGTGGGTTCTTACTTCTTACCACTTTGTCCATGATAACTGAGATTGAGCCTTGGCTGATTCCTAATGTATGGTGTGAAGGGCTGCATGCTAATCCAAAGCTGGAAAGGGAGTACAGAGACAAGGCACGAAAGGAGAAAAGGAAGAATGTGAAGGATGTTAAGACAGAGCCTTTCCGTGATCAAGACTCACCGGCTGCAGGGTTTTCGAAGATGCCGGATTCGCATTTCATGCTTACTATAACCAACCAGTTTCTACGAGGAGTTTCCTTGGTAAGTATGAACTATACCCCTGTTTTAGATACACAGAATTTACAACTGGGAACTTGCTTGCTACATGATGAATGTTCGGCTGCAGAGAATTCCAGGTGATTTAGCTCGGTGCAGTGGTCTGTATGGCGGGTCACGGACTCTCATCCTAACAAATGAGAAAGGAGGTGATTGGCTGGTGACGGTGGAGACGAGCGCGAACAACATTACTTACATTGCAAGCGGCTGGACCGAACTTGTGAAGGAGAATGGCCTACATGTCGGAGATACGCTCAGGGTAGATCTCGTCGAAAGAGGAATGAACCCTGCCATGACTTTCAAGGTAACATCTAAACACTATCCTTTCTTCTTTACCTCAAAAGTGGTGTACAGGTCAAACATGGATGACAGAAGCTCCCAACAAAAACAACCTTACGAACCGTGAAACAAGCTTTTGCTGTTGCAGGTGGTCTCGAGGAATACAATTGTGACAGAAACAAAAAAAAGAGAACCCTTGAGTGATGAAGTGACTGACGTTATGCCAATGGAGAGTAGAGACCTTCCTGAATAGTAGAATCGGTAATCAAACCCATGTTCCATAGCATGGCTTAAAGAATGTGATCAGAGGGGAATTTTCAAGCTGTAAATGGGGTGCAGTTCAGCAGAAAGATTCTGGTGATACCTAAGATCAAGAACAAGAATATGCCCCTCGAACTTGACAACTTTATATGCGTGGTAGGAGTAGAAACAAGAGCAAAGGAAGCATTCTCTGCACAAAAGAAGCTTGCGTCTAGCAAGACATGTTCAAACTCCCACCAACAGTAATACAATAATAACTTACTTTCAAAAGGCTACTGTATTTCGTCTAGGATACCCAGAAGATATTGAAAAATAGGGACATTAAAAAGAACCAAAAAGCTCCCTACAAAGTACCAAACTACCAGTAGCTCTACAAGTCTAGGACACACACGATTCACTTCTTGCTGCTGGTGTTACAAGTTCAACACAAACGACAGTTTATCATAATCTAGTACGATAATAATATAGCAATAATCCGTGCAAACTGCTAATAAACGATTCAGAGAAGTAATGAACAACTCACCTGTATAGGCTAATAACCTGCAAGGCAACGATCATGACAGTCAAGGAACCATGTGACATATATTCCTTTACTGTGACCAAAATCTTTCCATATGGTGTCTGGAAAATATTGAATAATAACGAAGGGTGCTGTTGCCTGACATCAAAAGTTAACAATAGGTCGAAAAATTGCTCTAACTCACATATAAGATCGGCTCTATGGATTGGGGGAATGAACGGTTCAACAAGTAATGCAGATGGATCCTGGACCCTCGATGATAGTAAGTCATGACTCCGCGATCATATTCATAACCCCGTCGTCGGAAACTTAGACTGCACTTTTCTTGCTTCGAAAGCTCTCCTTCAACAGAGCAAATTTCTTCTTGCACTGGTTCACAGTCTTTCCAGGTACTGCTGCTGCAACTCTTTCCCAGCGTTGATTGATCTCCTTGGGGAAAGTTTTAAGAGCTTGAACAAGAGCCCTCTCCTGTACAGCAGACCATACATCCTGATCTGAAGAAGAAGAAGATGAAGCTGCTGCATTCCCATCATTACTTCCATCATCAGCTTTTGGGGTTTCCAAACTCCCCGCACTCAGAGAGTCTTCAGGTTTAGTATCCACTATCGTAGTTGTATTGACTTCAGATTCCTGAGGATTGATTACCAAACCCCCCACTTCCTCCCTAGTTGTAAGCGGAGAAGCAATGGTTGGGCCAGGTTTCCTCTTCTCCAGAAAGGAATCGAAAGCTTTGGCAGAGTCGGGCTTTTGTAGGAGGACCGTTTTCGTCGCCTTGATAATTTCTTCCACAGATCTTCCTGTCCCAATATACTCTGAGATAACCTCCCAACGCCGGGATGTGCCCTTAGGATATTTTTGCATTCCCTTCCTCAGAAGCTCGATCTCTTCTCTACCCCAAGGCTTTTCTTTCCTGCTGCTTGAAGAACTGTTGCTGGTATGAGGACCCCCGTTAGATGTAGTAGAGCCATTTTGCTGTGGTATCCTCTTCTTTTCATCTTCCTTCTTGCGACTCTCCTCCACATCCTCATCACCTCCACCACAAGCATTTCTCAACAGTTTAGCTTTTTGCTCTACTGATGCTTTACCTTCCATATTTTCACATAAACTCCTCATTTGCTCAATATCGAATGACATGCAAATATTTTCTACATCATCTTCACGGAGACCAAGCAAACGATCCGACACAATTGATGCTGAAAGGGTACGGAGGCGAGTGCGTTCTTTCCTCAAAAGCTTCTTCTCCTTCTCTTTAATCTTCTTCTGTTGTGAAGCAGCTTCAGCAGCACGCTTCCCTTCCTCTTCCTTTCTCCGTTTCTCTTCTTCAGCAGCTCTTGCAGCTTGTTCATCCTGCAATTTTTTGGCTAAATACTTTGCCTCCTTTTTCCTCTGCTTCTCGGCTTTCTCCTCTTCCTTTCTCCTTGCTATTCTTGGGTCTCTTCGATAGGCATTGTCGACAAGGGCACGGACACGAACATATTCTTCCTTTCTAGCCTTTTCCGAGAGCTTTGCATTCTGCCTCTCCATCCATCTCTTATGGTCACGAGATTCAGCTTGCTCTACATCAAATTCATCATCATTAGGAAATTCCCTCCAGCTTTTGAAGCCATACCAAAAATCATAAAAGCTGTCCACTTCTTTTATAGGACTGTTATCATCGCCCAAAGGTGGCACTGGCTGGGTAACAGACCAACGACCATTTCTCACAAATGCAGGGCCAAACACTTTAAAGAAGTCCTGAGGCGCACAATCAGTTGGTATTTCATCATCAAACTCATCAGTGGAGTCATAAATTCTCCTCTTCACAGGGTCCATTAGAGCTTCATAAGCTTCTTGAATGGCTTTGAAATGAGTTTCAATTTCATCTTTTTTAGCTTGTTTGCCAGCCTCAGTCTCTTCCGCGAGAAGAAGTGAGGCTTGTTTGTCAGGATGATACTTCAGAGCAACCTCACGGTAACTTTTTCGAATTTGCTCTTCTGTGGCAAGGTACCTTAGATGACTCAACCCTAACAAGGCATAGTGATCCTGTTGCTTGTCTCCAGTTCCTTTCTTTTTCCCTTTGCTACTACTGTAAGATTCAGATGATGGCATGTGGATCTGCTCCTTGTCATTGGAAACTGTATCATCTTTACTCTCCACAACCTCCTCCTCGTGTCCAAGGAGTTTAAGTGCAGCAGCATGGAAACAATGTCCTGCAGGTTCATACTTTTTCGCTTTGACTGGAAGTCCATTTGAAGAAGCAAACACAGGTTGTCCATCTACAAGTTCTTCAGAATAGGTTATAAGCAGGAAAGAGCTCTGGAGAGTCATGTTGATTCTTCGGGTTCAGTATAACAATGGAATGGCAATAATCAGAACCCAGTCTGACCGACTCGATGTGATACTCTTTTGTCCAAGCTGCACAAAACAAGTTGCACAGAGTAAACAAGTGGAACAAGAATAAAATGCAGCATTAACAAGTAATCTAGGTATACAACTTAGGATGATGGTACCAATAACAAACAAATATCTCAAATAGGCATGCGAGTGAGAAATTTTGACCAAAATTTCTTCAGCTACAAAATTTGTAAGCAACAACATAACCACTTAGGATGCAATGGCATCTTTGGATCCACAAGTAACTAACATGTGCTTCAGTGCAGATAAGAGAGAGAGAGAGAGAGAGACATAGCACGGGTAAGGAGAATAGAAACCATGAAGACAGAGGCGAAAATAACTCAACGTCTCATCCTCTGATATATAGCACACAGGGCATATCAATGCACTACATGCCATGCTACACCATTTCCATTATACTAAATCAAAAGTAATCAACAGGGCAAAACATCAGACGCTGTTCCAAGATCATGGAGATTGCCCTAATGCTGAAGTGAAACACAAGCCCCTTGACTTCAATTCTAAATTCAATTAATCTAAAAAGATATGACACCTTTCAACAGCTGGTCATACAGCCAATCACACAAAAAATAAGCACGCTGCAACCTTTGATGCAGCCAACTTCACAAGACAGTAATAATTGGGGGAATTATCATCCCAGAAAAACATAAGCTACAGTGAGATGATTGAATTACAAAGGTAATAGCTTGATCAAACCCCCCCCCCCCCCCCCTAAATCGAAACAGATGATGTCTCGTCCACCACATCCTATAGAAAGTTTATACACAACGTAAAAGAAGGGATAATGGCAAATTCCAAGACACGATTTCTCAAAAGCAGCAGACAAAATCAGCTAGCTGCACGACGAGATATCCTAGAGCATGTTCATCGCATCTGATAGAATAAATATTCGCACCCCCAAGCTAAGAATTCTCGGGCGGAAATCTCTCATCCATCTCACTCGGTGGAAAGGCAGCAGCAGTGAAGGGAAACAACTTAGGATTCAACAATCAATAGCAGAACATACATAAACGGGGAAAATGCTAGCTTACTCTTTGCGAGCAAAGAGAAGAACAGACGCGGAACAAGGCTACAACAAGGAAAGAAACCCAGTATAAATCGAAGAGATGAATGTCCTCTAACCAGAGCTACTCAAGAAACACCAACCCTTCTAGAGCTATGAAATCGGAAGGAACCCCAAAAAGCTCCGGCCAAAGCTCAACGTCAATCTGTACCTTACGAGTCACAGGACATAGCAGGGGCGTAAAAAACACCCCACTTTCGCCGCCGCCTGCGCGGTACGCGAACTCCGTCCGAATCGAGCTGAACTGAAATCAACGAACAACAGACAAATTGAAGATCAGCAACAGCGATCACGATATACCTAGAAAAACAGCTCGACAAAACAAGGACATCAATCCGATGAATGAGCCCAGATTAGCATTCCACGCACCTCAACTATGCCGTTCTACACGAAGCAACGAGCGTGCGGGCGAGGGGGGAGAGAAAGAGAGAAAGAGAAAGAGGTTGTCTCTTCCTCGTGAAAGCTCTAATGGCGGGTTCGAAGGTATATGACTGGTTGGATTAGGGTTTCTGAGCGGAAGACGCAGCAGCGGTAAGGAAGGGAGGGGGCGCCAATTGCCAAACGACGCACCCTTTGCATAGCTGAGCGAGCAGTACGACTTTTTGGTTTTATATGGTCCGAGTACATCTGCGTTGAGCTATGCGGTGTCGTATCAGCATTTGTTGAGACTTTGAGGGGGAAAGGAAATCCGTATAAGTATATACCTTTTATTAGAACAACAAAGCGTAAATACAATTTAATATCCAAATCTTTCATTTTAAACAATATAATAGCCAAACCTTTTTGAAAACAATCTAATATCCAAATCGTCAACTTTCCGTTCGTTTAACCGTTAGTTGACACTTCAAAAAAGTTCAAAGTACGACGCTTCATCAATATCCATCGATATCTTCTCTGAAAAATCACCAGCATATCGTGGTTCCAAACCCGAGAAGTCCATGACTCCACCATGATGGTATAGAAATCTAAATATTCAGTCATCTGCAATGCCAAACAAGAAAACAAAGTTGTATTGTGACAATTTCCCCTAAACAAAGCTTTTTTGAAGTGTCAATCAACGGTCAAACGAACGGAAAGTTGACGATTTGGATATTAGATTGTTTTCGAAAAGGTTTGGTTATTATATTGTTTAAAATGAAAGGTTTGGATATTAAATTGTATTTACCCAACAACAAATATCTAACATACAAAATTTAACTTTAGGTGAAAGTTACGAGATGAATCGAAAAAATTAGTGCTCTATTAAATTTAAATAATTTGTTAATACAC